GCGAGCGCGGCGCCCCCCCCCCCCCCGGGGGGGGGGGGGGGGGGGGGGCGCCCGACACAGAGAGGCATTTCTACCTGCAATTAGAGCCAGATGGTTTGGGGAAGGACTCCCCTCCCTTTCATCCTGATCACTGGAGCACTTCAAAGGCAGCTGGAGCCTGGCCAGGCTCTCATGAGCGCACACAGCCTGTCCCCAGCCCTGTGCCCGCACATCAAAGCCTGTGACCCCCTCCGCGCCCCCGTTCCCGGGGGAGGGAAAAGAGCAGCAGGGACGCTGCTGGTCCCTTGGCTGCTGCCCAGAGCGGGCTGGACGCGGGGAAGGGCCGGTGACAGACTTCACCATATGGGCCCGGAGGAGAGAGAGGGCTGCGGGGAGGAGGGAGCCCGTGCTGCCCGGCAAGAGCATTTTGGGGCTCACACATCTCCCTGGCCAGGAGAGCTTCTGTGGCACAGCTGGCAGCAAACTTGGGCACAGACAGAACCCCCTGCCTGCACCTTCCCCTCCCAAATCCCTTTGCCCCCATTCCAAAACCGCAACGGTTTTGGGAAGGACCCATGGGAAGGATGCCCGGCTCTGCTGCAGTTTGTCTCCTAGTGCCTCAGCCCCTCGCTTGTGTCCAGGGACTCCCTGGCAGGGAGCAAGGAGGAGCCCAGGCGAGCAGAAACAGCGAGGCGGGGGGGCAAGCAGGCAAACCTGGCCGTGTCCCGGTGCTGGCCGCACGACACCACCCGCCGGTGCTGGGTTTGCTGCCAGCTGCTCGTGCCCAATGCAACCCATGCACAAGGGGCTGCCAACAGCCCTGCGAGGCTGGCGCTCCTGCTTAATTTGCAATGACCTTATCGGGGCTGGGTAAGCTCGTTTCACAGACAACCCAAATATAATACACATGGAAAGCGAGGTCTCCTCTAGCAACAAGATCCGAGCTCACCCAAGGACATCAGAGCAAGCGAGCCAGGAACAGACTCCAAGTCTCCAAACTTACACTCGGTGCCTAATTCAGATTTTACGCCCAAACAAGCTCAAGAAATTCAGACTACTGTTCCCACAGGGAAAATGTAAAACTTCCCCAGGGGAACTGGCTGCGAGAGTGTCGCAGGGTGAACAGAGCTCCCTCAGCTCCCAAATTCTCCCGAGGCACAAAAACCTGAGGGGTGTCCATCCTGGATGGCCCAGAGTCCTTCAGCGACAGTCACAGCACTGTACCACCAAAACCTTCCCTCCTGCTAACACCTGCATCGCTCCAAGGCTTCACTGGGTTAAAAATTGTCCCTGCATCAGAAGATGTCCCTCCTGAGCAAGGTCCTGCTCAGTGCGCTGCCCCAGCCAATCAAGCCATGGATTTTAGCAAGGTCCTATGAGGCCCAATGGTCCCTCTGGACTAGAGCATCCATGGCACCATGATCCTGACGTGCAGATGTATCTTCTTCATGTCACCAAGGGACTCCTGCCAGCCACACAGGCAGCTGCCCTCGAGGGTCACACTCCTGCTGTGCAACACTCACCCTCTCCTCTGCCCGGCCTAGGGAACAGCTGGATAAAGCCTGGAGCTAAGCCACTGCAGTGCATCAGCCAAGGGAAGAGAAGAGCTGGGCCTGTCCAGAGCGAAAGCTCTGCTCTCCACGGAGCACAGGCTGCAAACTGTTGCAGAGCTGGTCATCAGCAGCTCCCTTCTCCTTCTGCCGTTGGGAAAGGACATCCGCCACCACACCACAGAAGCAGAGTGCAGTGCTGGGAAGCCATCAGTATCTTGCAGACAAGCTCCAGCCTTCTCCTGTGACCAGCCAGCACCAAACAAAGGAAAAAGCCGAAGGGGGAATTGCTGCAGCTCCTCTTGCATACACTTGGGATATCCTGGCTAGGAATAACAGTTTCTAGGGCAGGAACCTGAGATAAACTTTGGAGCAGCACTCCGGAAAGAGCATGCACTTTCTGTTTGTGAAGACCATGTTTACACTGAAGGCTTTAAGCAGGATCACACACACCTCCCTATCAGCCCAGGAGCCCTTCCCACATAGTCCAGGCTCTCCCGCGTGTAGGACCGACCACCTAAACACCTTGGGGCGCAAGCTCAGCAAAGATGTTAGGAAGGAGAAAGAACTCATCTGCAATTCACCCCAGTGTCATGCCTACTTTGTACATAACATGGGCGAGAGTGTATGGAAAAGGCGTGGGGAAAGGCCACACATCACTTCTCTATAGACTAAATGCTGATATTTTCCTATTATCTCTAGTCCATACACCTCTATTAAAATTGCTCGGAAATCTGAAGATGGTGAAGAGAGCAGCCGCCAAACCATTTCAAGGGATGAAAAGACTTTTCCAGTGAAAGACTTGTACAATTCAATTTGTTTGCCATGTTAAAAAGAGAAAGCAACGACTTGATTTCCCAGTTATTTAAGGCAATAGTCCATCAGGCACAAGAGACTCTCTAATCCAGAACAGAACCACATAATAGGAACCAACGTGTTCAAGTCAAAGCCAGACAAATTCAACTGAGGAATAAGGATTGCACTTTTAACGCCGTAGGTGATTAACCACAGGAACAAGCTAACAAGGAAAGTAGCAATATCTCTTGTGGACACAGTCAAACCCATGTCACTGGGCTCAACCCATATGTACCACATCTGTGCTAAGGAAGAAATTCAAGGATCAAATGATTTTTTTTGGTCTTAAAATCTGTGATTTTGCTATAAACTTCTCTAAGACTGAACTAAACCTGGGCTAAGAAAGCAAATGACCGACACTCACGTGCTTATATAAAAATGATTAAAGATGTGACATCTCAGATCCTACAGCGGTTTAAAACCTGAACACATCAACAGACTAGTAGTCCCTGTGCTGTACTGCCCTTCGGCAACCAGGGACACAACCCTGCTGCCACCACAACCACAGGTACTTGTCCTTCCAGCATGTTCCTCACCGTCTCGGTAGGCACTGCAAGTTGCCAGTGAATGCACCGGCAGCGCTCTTTGTAACTATATCCATTGCTGAGCAGAGCTGATTTTCATCACCCGGTTAAACCCGAGCCAAGTCCACCTGAGGTAACTCCCCGGGGAGGGAAGCACTGCTGGAGCCTGTACATCAGTCTGTTCATCAGTGTCCTGGAGCAGCCGAGTCCCCAGCACAGGACAAGCTCAGAGGATGCAGCTTCCACCCCCACATATCCCGAGGCAATTAGCCAGCACGTAAACTCAAACTTGTCCAGCTTGAACCAAAGAAACCTGTGCACGCAGGAGTGAGATCAGAGGCAACGTTCAGGCTGTGCTTTGGGCTTGTTAACACTGCAGCGAAGAAAATGACGTATTTGCTAAAGGCTGGTATTGCACTGGGCTGTAATTATGAGGAATGGGGGGGTTGTGTTGCCTAATCATTACTGCTTGTGTTAGGTTTCCTTTGAACAGTTTTACCACACTGTACTGAAACAAGAACCCACCAGAAGAACTCTTGATCTTTTCCTGAATAGAGTTGAGT